TAGGAGGCCAGACACACCAGGCAGGACTTGACAGCTTTGTGTTTTCTCCCAGTACAGACGTTACACTCCGCATCTCCAGCATACTGGTCAGCAGGAGTAGCTGCTTGTAGTCCAGTCCTCTTCTGTTTTTCCACCACTTCAGCCAGTATGGTGTTTCTGCCCAGAACAGGTCTGGGTGTGAAGGTCTGTCTACACTGGGGGCAGCTGTAAACTCCAGCATGATCCTCCCGATCCCAGCAGCTCTTAATGCAGCTCATACAGTAACTGTGTCCACAGGGAATAGTCACTGGATCCTTCAGTAGATCCAGACAGATTGCACAGCTGAACTCATTTGCATCCACTGCAACTCTGTCTTCTGCCATTTTACCACAAACACTGATAGGATTCAGTTTCGTTTTCTCAGTCATCTGTGTGTGACGGTGGGAGGAACTTTCTGCTTCTCAGTCTGCAGTAGGTGTGGTTTTGGACTGAGGCCAGACTGAGAAGAGCAGACTGGGCAAACAGTGGAGCTGGAGTTTATGAATAAAATAGTTAATCATACAACTATACACACAGCAAATATTTATTTAGCCTTAATGAGGGTAACAGTTACTTGCATTGTCTTTTGCCCAAACCAGCTCTATTCCTACAATCTGATACCATAAATAAATTAGCCGGAGGCTTGTTGCCGCAGTTGTCAGCACTGGTTCCCCACACCTCTGGGACCAGGGTTCGAGTCCCTACTACGGCTCTATGGCTGTGGAGTTTGCATGTTCTCCCATATCATCCTTGGGGTTTCCTCTAGGTTTCCCCCCACAGTCCAACAAAGGTGAATTTCAGTTACCAGATTGTATGGTGTGTTTGCCCTGCAATGGGTTGGCACCCCATCCTGGGCACAGACACCAGACCAGGGCGCAGAAAATGCCTGGAAACAGACATTATGCAGAAGGCAGATGGGTAGAAGCGAGCAGTTATACTGCAAATGAACCATTTTAAATTTTGTTGCTTTTTCTCCAGATGAAGTGGATTTACAGCGAAATGCTGATGGGATTGAAGCTATGAAGTGGCATCAGGGTTAACATACAGGTATGTGAAGTTAGAGACAGACTATGTCAGGTTTTGGCAGAGAAAGCTTCTATGCAGAGCCAGGAGTGGGAACCACACACACAAACCCTGGAGGAGTGAAGTGAGAGCAGCTGGTCTGAAATCCTGAAGGGAGCTGGAGCCCTTTCTTTGGAACAGTGTGGATCCGTCCTCCATTACTGCTTATCCTGTACAGGGGGGTGTGGAGCCTGGAGCCTGTCCCAGGGGGCACAGGGCGGGGGGCACGATGGATAGGATACTAGTTTATAGCAGAGCACAAACTCACACATACAGACTAAGGACAGCTTAGAGATCCCAATCGGCTGATCGCATGTTTTAGTGACCAAGGTATGGAGAGAAAACCAATCTAGGGAGAACATGGAAACAAAGTTACACCCTCAGACCCCACACCTCCTCGCAATCTCACATCATTTTAGGACTTATTTAAAGTTGCATTTTCATGCTACAGGACTGTGAATGTTTATGAACATTTTCAAAAACTGTGTTGCAATTTAAGCTCCCTTTAAGAATCTTACCTTATAGGATTTACCTGTTTCTCCTCCCTTTACCTAAGCAGGTGTGACCTTTGTACCTTCATAGCAAACATACTCACTTCATATGGACACATATATTCACACCCAAAAACATATTTTCATGTTCACACCCCCAGTTGACAAATTTGCCTTCACAACCCCCCAACTATGGAAGCATATGTGTAGCAAAATTCAATTTGCAATACAATATTCAAAATGGCAACGCAATATTCAAAATGGCAATGTAATTCTGTATTTAAATTTACATTTTCCATCACCTCCACGCGTGCAAAATTTGGTGCAGAATGAAATTGATGATTAAATTATATTATTTACATTTGCCATTTCCAACAGTAGTCTTAAGTTGTAAAGTGCATACCATTTTAATGC